CCTACAGGGTAGTAGATCACAGATCGATAGCTGAAAGTGGTAGGAACACCACACACAAGTAGATCGGCCTCAAACCCTAGACACAAGGATTTATCCCATGGTTCAGCTTGCCACCAAGGCTTGCCTAAGTTCACGTTGTTGAGGTATACCACTAAGGCTTAGGGCTTTACAACCCTACCTCGTTCTCAAGTCAAGAAAGTGAACTCTTGAGATGATGGGTGATTTTACTCGCTGCAAAAGGTGGTTACAAACCTCCTGGGGCTGCCACAAACTTGGCAAGCTCACCGGGCGACGCTCTAGCCGGCTAGGAGCCAAGCTCCAAGAGTAACAAACACAACTGCCGGCCAAAACGTGAACCAAATGCTCTTTAGGCTTTGAGAATCAGTGGAGCTGCTCTCTAATCACTTTTGGCACCTTTTTCTCTCAAGGATTGATGGGGAAGTCAAAGAGAAAGCTTGAGAGCTTGAAGGGCACCAATGGAGGAGAGGAGAGATGAGCACCTGTTGATTTTCGTCAGTCTAAACTGTTGGGGAAGAAGATAGAGACGTTATGAAGGACAGGGAAAAGTATAAATACCCCCAGCCTCCCAACGGTTACTTAAGTGCAGCAGTGCCTCTCTCCAGGTGCGGCACTGCCACACTTAGCAAGACAGCAAGGGTGAAGGAGTTGTTAAGTTGGCTGTCTTGGCTGAGGTGTGAGGATGTTTTGTGTAAAGATTGAGCATTTGGCTACACACTTTTAACCAGTTGTAGTGTCCCTCTTTATAGTACGGCTTTTCCCATACTCAATTTCAAAAGACAAGAATTCAAAACTTCTTTGAGTGCGATGCCGTCCTTATTTATAATTGGGGCCTCCTCCTTTCCATGTGACATCCTCTATAATGAATTCACTGCTTGTCATCTTAATAAATCTCATTAGTTCTCTAATTAGGTGGTCATCAACACCAAAACCCACATTAGGGCTTGATTGCACTTACAGGACCCCCGCAAACGGGAAGCTAGAGCCCCACTTGGACTAGCCCGATAATAGCTCATCGAGCACCATGTTTCGTCCATCGAGGAAAAACATGGCACGGCTCAACCTCTTCGTTTTATCGAAAAAACGCTTGAGGGATGATGATCACAAAGACGAACCGACTCTCGACCGGACCCCTGCTACGCGCGGGGGCTCGAGGGAAGTTGGACTCGTAAGGAGACCGAACACGCGGTTGTAGGACAACGGCGGACCGATCGGATCCTAGGGGACCGGAATCAAGAAAAATCTTTCCGACCTCCCGAATCCTACAGTTACATGCCCCCAAGAAGACCGATCACGATAAAAGGGAATCGTCGTCCTACCAGGACACGTCGTGGGCTAAAAAAAGAAGGCCAAAGCTCTCAGAGTCCTCCATCTAGAAAAGCCTGCAAAAGAGTATTCTACTCCTTCGCAGGCTCGGGGGCTACTATCGGGTATCGATAATAGGGATACCCAAAGCAAGGAAATTAGCGTCCACGCTGACTTCCTCGAATGGCTCTTAACATATTAAAAGGTCTCGCCCGACCTTGAGGCCGCGGGCTCCGTCTCACCCGATCTCGAGGCCACGGGCTCCGTCTCGCTCGACCCCAAGGACGCGGGTTCCGTCTCGCCCGACCCCAAGGACGCGGGTTCCATCTTGCCCAAGGTCGCGGGCTCCGTCTCGCCCGACCCCAAGGATGCGGGTTCCGTCTCGTCCGACGGGGACCCATACCGCCGCCAACCACTCTAGGTCCAAGCGTATGACCCTGGGTCAAAACTTTGACGCCAGGGAAGAGACTAGCACACCTCGATGTAACCCGTGGTCATGACAGGCCATACCTGTGGATTCACATCAAGAATAGTGTCAGGCGTATCGGTGCTGTTCTGCCTAATCCTCGTACGGACGCTGACAGGCGTGTCAGTTCACCACGACGTCTGCTGGGACGAAGTGGAACGCCATGACCGGCACATGACGTCTGTGCATGGTGCCAGTGACGAACAGGGCCATGACATGGAGCCGTCCCTGTTGACATCTATAGGATCGACGGGACCCGCATGAAGGAGAAGAAGAACCCGGCAACCCTAGAAGCCTTCTTTTCTCTCTCGTTCTTCTCCTTTTCTTGCTCTGTAACCCGCGCTTTTCCTTCGCCTATAAAAGGGGAAGCAGAGCACCCCATGAAAGAGGGGATCTTGACACAAGAGCACGACATGAGCACACGGCTGAGCGGCAAGTAAACTCTCAGCACCCGTTCACTCCTTCCACCAGAGACTTGGGATCCTCTCCCTCTCTCGCCTGTTTGTAACCCCTATTGCAAATCAAGTGCCGGTAACACGAGAAGCAACGAACTGGACGTAGGGATGTTCCGTCCGAACCAGTATAAACCCTTGTGTCCTACGAGCACATCATCCGAGCTAGACGCGCAAATACAAATTTACTCGTCGGTGGTCCAAAAACACCGACAATGCCGGACCACTAATCTACATGTTGTATAGCTTTGTCACCCCTCTTGCCGTTTCATTTTTTATGTGCTCATTGTTTGCTAATTGACATTTACTTCAATGGGTTTTCCTTTTATCCTACAGGCCTCCAGTTTGTCGGATGTTTCACGTACAATATATCCCAGATTGACTAAGCATGAGCAAGAATTTACATATTCTTAGTTTCAAATAACCACCCGTCTGTTCAGCTGGGGCTGGCTGGCTGGCTGGGCTGGCCAGCCCCCTCACATGGATACTATTCACATGAACCAGCCAGCAATACTTCTCTCTCACATAAACGAACCAGCAACGATACGAACTAGCCAACCGAACAGGCTCCACATTGTATTTTATGACGAGGAGATTGTGAAACGTGATTAAATCTCAGAGGCGCCAGTATCTAAGAATACTAATGTGTCAAATCTATTCAACGGTTTTTATGAGCAAAATTATATGCTGCAGATTGCTAGCCTGTGCAACTACACGGGTTCCTGCTAGTTTCTTTTATACATGGACCAAACGGGTCGGAGCGAACCCGGTATTGTAGTTGACCGTGTCGTACTGCACATTCGTCATTTGGGCTCGGCACATCTGACCGATTCTCTGTCCGCTCGATTGTCGGCTGTAGACGGAAGCAGCGGCGGCTCACCGGTGTTGCAGGTGTATCGCTGTAACACCAGCCCAGTTCAACCGTAATTCGGCCCATTGGCTAGGTCTTACATCCACCCATCCTAAATGGATTCAACGTCCTCGTCGACCAACTTATCCATACGGAACAAATGCTCTGGATCGACTCTCTTGGCCACGTTCGTATTTCTGGTTCCCCGACCCAGGCGCCATGCCCTCTATGGACAGATGCATAATATGTCCAGGCTTCCAGACCATACGAAGCGTGAAACCACGAGACTTGGCTCTTAATATCATTTGTAACACCCTAGGCCCGGCACACGGCCTAGGCTCACTGTGTCGAGGGGTGGGCCCCACCTACGTAGTAACCCACTTGCGCTTTCGCCCTCGCTTCGCACAAAACGGTTAACCGAAGGTTGTTACACGTCCTTGGCCTGGCTATTTAAGTTGGTCTGGCCACCCTTAAATTCATGGTATGGTACTAAACTCCTGGCTACAGTATCCCAGCCCAACCGTAATTTGGCCCATTGACTGGGTCTTACATCCACCCACCTAAATGGATTCGACGTCCTCGTCGATCAGCTTACCCATACGGGACAAATGCTCAGGGTCGACTCTCTTGGCCACGTTCGTATTTCCAGTTCCCTGGCTCAGGCGCCATGCCCTCTCTGGAGCCATGCACAACCTGTCCAAGCTTTCAGACCATACGAAGCGTGAAAACCACGAGAGTTGGCTCTGAATACCATTTGTAACACCCCGGGCCCGGCGCACTGCCCAGGCCCACTGTGCCGAGGGGTGGACTCCACCTACATAGCAACTCGCTTACGCTTTCGTCTTCGCTTCGCGCAAAACTCCTGGGTGCCAGGAGTTTAGTACCATACCGTGAATTCAAGAGTGGCCAGACCAGCTTAAATGGCCAGGCCAAAGACGCGTAGCAACCTTCAGTTAACCGTTTTGCGCGAAGCAAGGACAAAAACATAAACGGGTTGCTAAATAGGTGGGGCCCACCCCTCGACAGAGTGGGCCTGGGCGTATGCCGGACCTAGGGTGTTGCAATCGCCGTTGGCAGCGCCATGAGCCAATCGGATCATCAGAAGGTGGCTTTCATCGAATCGCGCGCAGGCGCAGATCTTCAAAGTTCCAGCCCACTACGACTTGGGAGGAGGTGATTTTTGAATCAAAATTTAGTATGAGTGCAGCTAGTTTACCTTTATCGAGGCCAGTTCAATGGTAGGGACTATATAGGGAGCGATGAACTCAATAACTACGCCACAATCGTAGGATCTGATCTGACACCGGGGCATCGATCGATCACGTGCGGTGCATACTTGTTTACCAGCTCCCGCGCCGGACGGAACCGGCAACACAAAGCCAAACTAATGCTTTTTTAAGCGGCAGGGCTGCAGCATCAATGCTTCGTCTCGGATCAACATCAACCCACACGGTTCAGATATACCTTGATCGCGTAGCATCAATGAAAAGTCAGCCGTTGACCAAATTTTCATCCAGTAAGCTGCTAGCTACCTCTCAAAGCATTGGAACACTGTAGTGATCTACTCATCATGAATTGGATGTAGCAATAATCTTTTCTCTCTCTCTCTTTTGGGCCAAAACTGAAGAAGAGAAGAAGAAGAAATCCTACTAACCGGGAACAGGAGCTCTGCCATATCCAAGAATGAGACAACAACACAAAATACAGTTGTAAATCAGATACCGAAACCGAACGTACGCCAACAGGCAACAGCTAATAACGAGAACAGGATTGCAGGCACATGATACATCAGCATCACCTAGCAAGAGGATGCCAACAATCTCGTGTGTGCGTGTATCATCTTTGCTGCTTGTCAGCGTACGTGTCACCAATAACTACGTGTCCACGAGAGATGAAAGATGATATATGGTTACATTGCCAATAAGAAACCCGCCAATGCCAGCAGCGTGAGCGCCGGAGCAGACACGTACGCGGTGGCCGCCGCAGCCGCCGACTTCCCACCAGACGGAGCGGCTCCACCGCCTCCTCCCGCGGGCGAAGCACCGGCGCCCGCGGGGGCCGGGGCCGGGGCCGCCGCCTCCAAGAACTGCGCGGCGCCGGAGAGCACGAGCTTGCCCTTGGCCTGGAGGTTGGGCTTTTTGAACGCGTGCTCGGCCGGCGCGCCGTTGGTGGTCACCTTGGAACCCACCTGCCAGATGTGGTTCACCTTCTCCAGGCCGGGGCCCAGCTGCAGCTTGCCGTAGATCCGCACCTCCCCGCCGCTCTCGTCCGCTGCGAGGTCCGTGGCCTTGTACGCGATGGGCGTGGGCGCGGCGCCGAGCGGGTTGTACCCCGTGATGTTGTAGGTGTTGACGACGTAGGAGGAGGGGCCCTTGAAGGCCAGCAGCGCCTGCGCGCCCTTCATGCCGTCGCCCGTCGGGTTGATCGCCCACGACACCCAGCCGCCGGCACCGCCCGCCGGCTTCGCCACGAACGCCACGGACAGCGACCCCGTCTTGGCGTCGTAGGTCCAGTGCAGCTTGGCGCCGAGGTATGGGAGCGCGGCGCAGTGCGCGTAGCTCTTGCCCGCGGGGAGCTTGTCGCCCTCGCACCCGCTGGTGGCTGCCGCCGCTGCGGCGCGTGTTATTGCCATGGGCGAGGCCAGGAGGAGGGCGACGGCCAGGACAAGGATGGCGCGCCGATGATGCTGCGTCGCGTAGGCCATCTCGGACGTGTGTATGAAAGCCTGAGCTGTGAGGGGCGGACGATGGATGGGAGTACGTGCTGAGGAAGGAGCGTGTGTGAGGGTTTATATAGCGAGGGGAGGGAACTTTCCGCTCGAGCTGCTTATTATGGTGGCCATGGCCATGATGGCATGATCATGTGAGGGTGCAAACGCATGCAATGTATGTGGATGCTTAATCCGGAGATTTTGCTACGACCATTTCAAAGAAGTTGACTGCAGTAGCTCGCATGTGACCCTAACGTTCACAACGACCTGATTTCAGTGCATTCCAAGTCCAAGCACTTGTAATGCGGTATCAAGAATCTCTCTCTCTCTCTCTCTCTCTCTCTCTCTCTCTCTCTGCCCTCCGGCGTCGTCGATCGATGCAACAAACAGCTATCACATTGCTTCGTTCGCGAAACTCTAGGCTTCGACAGATTTGAACCCACATGGTACAACGTGAAGCCCGATCATGCGGGGGGAGTGCAACGATTATTAGTGGAAATAATATTATACAGCACACCTGACGGGAATTAAGGCACTATTTGGCACAGCTTAACTTCACTAGTAAAACTATTTTTTTTTTAGTTTTTAGCTGCACAAGCAGCTTTCTTAAGTAAAGCTGAGCTATTTTTTAACACCGTTTGGCAAAACAGTTTCACATGAGACATAAAAGTAACAAATAATAATATACCCTTTTCTTTTCTTTTATTTTTTTCGGTCTACTTTCACGGAGAGAGAGAGAGAGAGGATTTGATCCGTCTTCTTCTCGCATGCTCTCGACGGCCGCGGCAACTCGCGCGCTCAGCCGGTGCCTTGACGGCCACAACTTTCTCGGCAGCAGGTCTGCGGCGGCCGTGTCCGTAGCTTCCCCGGCGGCAGTCGCGTCCGCGCGTGGCCCCGACGGCGTTCGTGCGCCAACCACGTCCGTGTCCACGTCCAAGCACAAGGGAGGAGCTGAGCTCTCACCATACAAGAATCGAAGAATCCCCGCCTCTCCGGCCTCTTGCGGCCTGCGCTCCAACGGCTGTACCCTGGCTCCCCGACAGCCGCACCCCCTAGCAGCGACGGAGCCAGCGCCCGTGCTACCGGGGCTTTAGCCCGGGCTACCGATCGAGGGAACGTGGAGCCCCTCCTCAGCCCCACCTTAATTTTTTTGCCTAATTATATGGATTAGGAAGGGCTAAAATCGCCGTAGACTTTTGTTCAGCCCGACCTAAATTTTTTCCTGGCTTCGTCGCTGCCCCCTAGGACGGCAGCGCCCTGGGCTCTCCGGCGGCCACGCTCCCTGGCACTCGGCGGCCTCCATCCGACTGCACGACCGCTCCGGCGGCCACTACCTCCTGGCTCCCGGGAGCGTGCTCACTCTCTCTCTGCTTGGCAAAAGGTTGCACAATGGGTCCCACATATGAGAGTGTCTTTGTGAGAGGAGGAGAAAAATAGCTTCATCCATTAAGATGTTTTGCAAATGAGTGTTTGACAAACCGGCCCTAAATGTCGTCGGTAGTGAACATAACTTCGCCCAAATAATACTGTACCATACGTTCGTGCATAACAGGACACATGAATCCAATTCAATTCTGGGCCGTCGATAGAGTTGACCCGTAAACCACGCCACCACCACGAGAGCGGTCAGCCCGGTAAACTCGCCGGCAGGCAGGCACCGTTCATGGATTACGCAGGACATGACAGCGAGATGACGCAACTAGTATGAGTTTTGTGGGCCTTCAATTGAATTGTCCGTCCAGATTTTTGGGGGCCTATTATTGTTGAACAAGAAGATTCAAGGCCCAGATTCAATGCCCTAATACGGAATTTCTAATCACTAGTCGGCCTGGTTTGGGCCGAGCTGGTCTTCCTGCGTGAGCGTCTTTCTGCTAGATGGGCCTGCAGCAATTTCCAGCCCGTAAGAGCCCAGTGGCCATCCATCTATAATTTTTTTTTTCTTGGAGGGCCATCCATCCATACATCTATATGAACTTCGAGGGGATAAAACTGTTGAATAATTAGGCAAGTTTATGATTAATTTTAGAACATAAATCATGATGAACACATATATTAACATGTAAAACATTAACGTACAAGCTAAACCGAACAACATCAATATAAACAACAGTAAGATAGAACCAATAGACATATAAAAATAACACAGATCGGATCGTGGTGTAAATACTTCTCGTTTGCAGGCAAATTCGTTGTGGCTGGTGGTGGAAGAGTTGTGGCTATTGGTGTAGGAGTGACGATGTTGTTGATGAAGTTAGACGGGTTGAAGGAGCTTGCGACGAAGACGATATTGCCCTCTACCGGTGTAGGGTTGCAAAGGGCAAGAGGTTCTAGAGACATGCTCTCCCAATTATCGGTGCACGTAGGCACTCAAGATGAAGAGACTACAATGAAGGTCAGGGTGCCAGACAACCAAAATGCTCCTTCAAGGTTACAGGCAGAATTTCAGCAGACCGTTCATGTAGGTGCCTTGGTCCAACGTCCGAGCCTAGCGAGGAGAGCAAGCGAGAGCGTATGGAGTTCCCTTCTCTCTCCACACACTAGACTTGCTGAAGTGAAGTGGCCTTTTTTATTTGAGCAAGTCATCCTCCACTGCAACTAGCATAATGGGGCTAAAGTTCTCCAATCCCGTATTATATGAATGAGCTTTTGAGATTTATTTGAAATAATTAAAAATTTTCTATTTAGGCCAAGCGCATGTAAAGCGTATATGCATAGGCCTGACTATTTCATCGTGCACGTATATGAAGCCTCTCGACTTTGTAGCTTGCTTGCTTTATTTCTTTTCTCTTCTGGTTTCTTTTTCTAGACTAGATTATAGTTATAGGGCAAAGCTCCTGCCTTAACTAAGACAAGCATTCGAATGAGACATATCCCTCATTTTAGAGCTAAGAAAAGCAACCCTCAGTTCACAGCCTATGGTCATTGGAATAAGAAATCACAAACCAGATACACTCACATCTCACAAGAGAGACCTATAGCTTTAGCTAGATTCTGCCACTTTACTGGCCCAACTGGTTCTTTGAAGGATGAGCTATTGGACAACAATTCTTTAGGATGAGCTATTTGACAACAATTCTTCAGCTTTAGCCGGCATCCTTCCAATGGCATATTGGGATTTACGGTGTTCTAACTAAGATTGATGGCTTATATTAGCGGAACAAAACTCATACAAGAGGAAAAATTGTCAGTGTTTTGTGTCACCAGCTAGTAAATTTAGCGTTAATGGCTTGCACTCATAGACTCTAATTTATACCAATTCAAGCAACGCACCGTTGTCCATTGAAGACCTGATCATGTTTCGAGCACCAAAGACTTAATGTTAGCGATAGGGGTTACAAATGAGAGAGGCTAGGGTTCCTGAGGTTGAAGAAAGGATCTGAAAGAGTTATAACTTGTGAGAAGCACACGCAGAGTGCAAAACGAGCTTGTGCATGTGTTTTTTTGGTTAAACGTGAGAGAGATCACTTGTAGCGCCTTATATAGACAGGAGGCAGAGTTTACAAAAGTTGTTGGGCCTCGTATGTTGGTCAAAAGTGACTGGTCCTCTGCTGGCATCGGCCTGCCTTCACTTTCATTGTATACGTGTTGTGCAAGGGAGAGATAGAAGAGTCCGTCCCTGCCAGATCTCCTTACGTGAGGATGACTCGTCACAATGGTCCACCCACATCGTGGTTAGTGGAGTAGTGCCCCTACAGTCAATCACAAAAGCTTGATTATGTCTCCTATTCTGCATAGAACAACTACATCTCATGGCGTGGCGTAGCCTAGTCGTTACTTTGCTGTGTACGACTTTGATTGACCAAGTAGCCATCTAATTAGACCCCTATGTGGGGCTACGAGTGGCCTAACTGTCGAGGGGTCAGATAGAGCATGTCACTTTGATCGGAGCTGACCGCCGTGGGATCCTCGGCATGGTAAAGACCATTTTCTCGGTAGCATATAAGGGCAGCTCCAATGCTGCCATCGAACCTTGTCTGACTGCCGGTCTTTGTCAAAATCGATGTTGAGGACAGTTTGTCCTCCCTAGTGTGAGCATCGATTAGTGGACCCACAACACAATGTTTACTATGCCTCAGCCGTATGTGCAGGTAAGCCAACCGCTGCGACTCAATATTTTATCCCCCACGGTTCGAACCTAAAACAAGATCCGATTTTTCTCTCACCTCCCTCGGTTCGATGTCCACAACCTCCCTCGGTTCGATGTCCACAGTGTTCTTGGTTCGTTGATCGAACGTCCAGTTAGGACCACGGTTCGGTTCGCAAGAAACACTAGAGCTGCTCTAAGCACACATGGTGGATGTAGCCCTTGTCTGACTGGCTGGAGTCGGTCAGAGGGTTATTCATCTTCCCAGTGGGTAATGTAAGGTGGCTGATGACTGTGCACAAATTCACCAACACATATTGTACTGAGTTCCGACTGATCTATAAGATGCGAAGCAATATCCAATCTCTTTAGAAAAAGCATCTTTGTCGAAGACTCGGCTCTGCAGTTTCCCCATGGATTCAAAGTTGTGCTGGGACAACCAGGTGCGTTCTTGCCGATGGCCATCGTCATAGTCCCTCGCACGCGAGGCTTGTGGGTTGCGAGTTGCGACTTTGGCCTATGGGCACCAGCGACGTCCAGTTAGCAGTTGCGACTGTGCGTGTCGTCTGTCGAGTGGTTGGGTCTCACGTTGGCCGAGCCCTTCCACTACCCGTCCTTTCGGGCAGGCTGTCCTACACTCGACCCTGCTTGAGCAATCAGCATGGCTAACAACACCCTTTTCCTTGTCATCGTCAACTCCATCAATGACGATCTTCATTCTGTTGGGATCGGAAAAGCTACCCGAGCAGAGCATTCTTTCGGTTTTGGGCATGGGGCACGGAAGCGCTGCGAATGATGATGAGACGAGTACGAGCCCGATTGTGGCCAGCACTGAATCACCGATAGCTTGATGATTTGGGCATGGTGCACTGTTGCAAGCTTACGACGACTGATGAGTTTGCATGCAGTGCAGTTGCAGTTGCAGTACACCAAGCCGCCAACCAATCACCACCCATGGGCCTCAACTATCGCAACATGGGACCAACTCCAGTACTAGCTTGAGCTCAGTTCCAATCGACAAACAAGGACAGGCAGCTTGAGCTAACCCTTTTTTCACGGCCGCCAACCCCACCCACTCCCGGAACCGAGGTCCATGTTGCCACGCCCGTATCAGCGCCGGTCCTATGAGTTTGAGGCCCCTCGTGCGAACTCGTCGCGACGGCCCTCTAAGCCATAAAATTTTATAATATATAGACTAATTTTATTTATAAAGAGAAAATAAATCTAATAATATATTTTTAATTTAACATGTCTGATAATTATCGAGAGAAAGAAACAACGTAGACTTAAATTATCATTAACTTATTGTTGCTCTTCTTCTTGATTATCAGGTGCATCTATAGGGTTGTTATCACGCACAGCACTACTTGAAGCTAAAAAAAACTTATCTAAAGTACCTTGTTGTGACTGAATAAACTATTCTTCTTGTCTTTTCTGTTTTCTTTTCGCAGTCCCTGACAAATGTTTGTTAGGTATCATTCTAAAATTCTTACACCTGACCTAAATTATAAGAAAAACATGACTATATGAGTACAAAGTACTAGACAAAAATTGAACAAGGAAAAAAACCCTAGGGCCCAGATACTTTGGACATGAATTGATTCAGAACCAAGATTCACAAAATTACAAAAAGGATAGAAGGCAATAACCAGGATCAGATATTCAGATGTCATCGACTCGTTGTTGCGTGGTGATCGCCTGATCGGCGCTGCGTCTCGCCGTTTGCGGAAGTCTGGTCGCGATCGCCGTGCGGGGCTGCGGAAGTCGCGATCGCTGTGCACCTGTGCGGGGCTGCGGCGTTGGCGGCTCGGCTCCTGAAAAGAAAGAGTCCGACGCTGATGGGCTGTTGGCCTGCTGGCTCATTAATCCTAAATTCTAATGGACTATTGAAAGGGTATGGGATCTTATATACTTGGGCTTGCCCCGGCACTGGCCCGTATTCGTCTGCCTGCCAGCGCCGATCAACCTGCCCCACCGGTCGCTTGCCCGTCCCCGTCGCGGCCAACCGCGCCCCGCCAATCCCAACCCTGTTCCGTCCGTCCGTTCCTTATTAAACCGACGGTTGCCGCGCGCCCACTCCACCTCAAAACACCCGAACGACAAGGCACGTCCGCGCCCCACGCCCACCAACTTTCGAGCACTCACTCACTCTCACTGCACCCACCAACGCAAGTACGCCCCGCGGCGCGAAGAACGCCCAGGCCATGGCCGTCGCCGTCGCCGTCCTCGCAGCATGTATCCTCACGCTGCTGGCACCGCCGCCGGCGCACGCAGCGGGGGGCGGCGGGCGGTGCGCGGGGGAGTCGTTCTCGGCGAACCGCGCGTACGCGGCGTGCAACGACCTGCCCCGCCTCGGCGCGTCCGTGCACTGGACCTACGACCGCGCGACGGGGGACCTCTCCGTCGCGTTCGTCGCGGCGCCCGCCGCGCCGGGCGGGTGGGTGGCGTGGGCGCTCAACCCGTCGGGCGACGGCATGGCGGGCGCGCAGGCGCTCGTCGCGGGGACCTTCTCCTCCGACGGGAGCGCTGGCACGGCGTGGGCCGTCCGGACGTACAACGTGTCCGGGTACGCGCTCGGGGAGCCCGGCCCCATCGCGTTCCCGGCGTCGGACCTCGCCGCCGAGCTCGGCGCCGACGGCCGCGTCCGGATCTTCGGGAGGCTCGGCCTCGGCGCCGCCGGCTACGGCGGGGGCGTGGTGCTCAACCAGGTGTGGCAGGTCGGCGCCGCCGTCTCCAGCGGCGGCGTCCCCGCGCCGCACGCCATGGGGGCAGACAACCTCGCCGCCAAGGCCAAGCTGGACCTGCTCAGGGCGACCACCGCCGCCGCCGGAGCCGACAGCGCCACCAAGAAGCGCAATGTGAGTGCTCTGCTCGGTCTCGCTCTCACCGGCGGCCAACCAAACCACCACTTGTTTGCTTTTCCTCTGCTGTAATAACTCGTTCTTGTTTTCGGGCGCGGCGCCGGCGCGGAATACTGTAAAGATCCATGGAGTCCTGAACGCCGTGAGCTGGGGCGTCCTGCTGCCCATGGGCGCCATCTTCGCCAGGTACCTCAAGACGTTCCAGGCGGCAGACCCGGCGTGGTTCTACCTCCACGTCACCTGCCAGCTGATCGGCTACGCCGTCGGCGTCTCCGGCTGGGCCACCGGCATCCAACTCGGCAAGGAGTCCAAGGGCGTCACCTACACCGATCACCGCAACATCGGCATCGCAGTCTTCGCTCTCGGCACCCTTCAAGTAAATAAATTTCTCCACTTTAGACCGAAAAAAGCTGGTTCTGATGAGTGACGAGGGCTTGGTGGACATGCATAATACAGGTTCTGGCGCTGTTCCTGCGGCCGAAGAAGGAGCACAAGTACCGCGTGTACTGGAACATGTACCACCACTCGGTGGGGTACACCGTCATCGGGCTGGGCATCGTCAACATCTTCAAGGGCATGAACATCCTGGGCGTGGAGCAGCGGTGGCGGACCGCCTACATCGCCGCCGTCTGCGTGCTGCTCATCGCCGCCGCCACGCTGGAAGCCGTCACGTGGGCCGTCGTCCTCAGGCGGCGCAAGGCCGAGAGCAAGACCTTCAACAGCGCATCCAACGGCCACCTGCCGCATTCCGTGTGACTGAGTGTGCTATGTGCATGAGACAAAAGGTTTTGTTTTCGCTAGTGGCGCGTGTGACTACGGGCAGACGATAGTAGGTTTAGAGTTTGCTGGCGTTTTGGCCTGCCGGCTTGTATGTTGTCCGTTTTGGACGGTTTTCTGTAACTCTGCATACATCGCGCTGGAGTTTGAGCTGTAGCGATCATGTAGTACTATATATTGTGCATTTTGTGTATGTATTCCCGTTTAGTGCTGAGCTCGTCTTGCTCGTTTGGAGATGGAGGAGCATCTAGAAAATGGGCACAGGGCATCGCTTCTCGACAGTCGGGTCAGCGTCCGGGAGGATCCGCGCCGATCACGCACTTTGGGTGGGCGTTCAGGTCCCATGCCGGAGCCCGGAGGCCACTTTTTAGTTGCGCAATCTGCTCCCCGCGGACCATGATGGTTGGTGAAGCTGAAAGGGAGGTTTGTGATATCAAAAAAAAAAAAAACGCATCACTATCGGAGGGTCTCTAGAATGCCCTGGCTATAGCCTGAGCATGAGGCCCTGATCCTAGCCATCCGAACAAGTGCCCAAGTGCTCCCGACTGAACCTCCCAGACAAATATATAGCTACCTTGTCCTGGAGTGCCTTGGAGTCCTGTTACCACGTCCTTGCCAGTGGCCACCGAAGGGTAGGTTGATTTTTCCAGAAGAGAATGGCATAACTGAATAACTGATGATAACTCATATGGGTGTGTTGTCTAGTCCATCATCGCGTATCCTTTTTACAGGATCACTTTAAGAAGAACAATGATAAAGCATAAAGGTTGCGAGCATATTTGCCACCACCAATTGGAAAGTAAAGAATATTTGCTCCTTTAATTTGCCGCAACAAGCTCTTTTGCAACACAGGCCTACATTTTAATGCTACTTGATTTCCTCCTAAATAAACTAAGCCTAGATTAGTTTTAGCGTCTAGCACTCTAGCTTTGGTCACTTTCATGGGGGCACAGGACACCCGTTTCTGATTATGACCATTTTTATTTTATAGTCTGATGGCAACAATTGAAATGTTGCTGCAACAACCAAATCAAACGATTGATTACTCAACAATTTCTTCTAATAACACATTTGCTATCATAAAAAGCTCAGTCGGAATAACCCCTAAACAATGTTAATCAAACCCATTTTACCGGTCTGATCTACGCGGCATTAATACTCTTTCCGTCTCAAAAAGGATATTACAATAGTGATCAATCGAACTATCTCAAGGTTGACCATTTATATAAAAACATATACTAAATAAGTATCATTTAATTTGTCATAAAATATATATTTTTAATATACTTAGTTGGAGTCTTAAACGTTAATACCATTTTCCATAAACTCAGTTAAATTTAAGTTAATTTGACTCTGTCAAAATCCAAAATAAGGGCTCCTTTGGAATGCAGAAATTTCATAGAAATTCTACAGAAATCTCACAGGATTTAGTTTCTTTTTCACAGAAAAAACACAGAAATGAAAAAAAAATCTGGCGTTCCAGAAGAAGCCTAGGATATCTAGTATGGCGAAAGGCTTGCGTCGTTGTGCTTACACTAGTAACTTTTCACACGGACGAGTCACGGGCCACCCTTTCCCTGTTTCCTGTCTGGGTTCCAATCAAATGCTTTGTTCCCTCTATCTACAAAAGGATTGGTTCTTTGAACACGACACTCATTCGTCAGCGTTCAGACGGTCAGTTTTGGTTGCACTCTGCTGATCTGCCCAGTTTCCTTGGACTTGAAGGGAACTTTTAAGCTGCCATCTTAAGTTGGTGGGCGCAGGGGCTTGTGAGACGAAACCATACGTTTGCAGGCTTGCAGCAAGAGCAAAGCAGTAACATAGACAGAACCATCGTTTTCTTCTATTATCATCGAAAATCCATCTAGAAGAATCGTAACAGCTCAGAAGGAGCTATCAGGTACCACCAATGTTGAAAGAGAAGAGTTGGTTGAGCTGCATTTCGATCTATGGACTGGTAAGTGCCTTAGTTATATTGAGCTAGAAGTTCTCAATTCTCACCAACCTGGGATCTTCTGAAAATCATTGGCACAAGGTTCCTGCTTTCAAGTATTACAGAAACACTACTCCTGAGTATACAATTGAGTTGAGCCTTGTGCTACCAACATTTTAAACTACAGATTCAGTGTCCTGAGTCCTGACGCATGGAATGTGTCAATACACAAAGACATGGGGCAGCAGCTGACTCTTAAGTCACGTTTCTAATAATATATTTACTTCATTCTGGGGTTTACTGAACGCAAGACAAAGCTGCAGACGATGGTAGCTTTCCTGCGTAAGCATGGCTTATAGAATGTAAGGATAAAAAAGCTGGGCAGAGTCCTGCCGGCAGTTAGAAGAAGAAGAAGAGGAAGAAGAAGAAAGCAGACCTGCAAATAACCATTGAAGGCTGCTACGGAGAAATGCTCATTTCAAAATATAAAAGTTCTACCTAGACATAAAAGGAAATCAATAGTTCAATACAAGAGGTAATAGGCTCAAATGACAATAAAAGATCCAAATGACATATCAAATATTGTGTATAATAAGAAACACATGCTCCATAGTGCTTCATCGTCGCTTGCCTTGTTCTTCCATAATCCAAACTCATATATACTTTAACATCAATGAAAATAGTAGTAGCTTATACCTTTTTATATATAAAAACACTTTGCACGCAGGGGCGAAGCTAGAGCCCAAAGGATCCGAGTGCACACTTGACACTTCAATATATACATGTAATAAAAATCTTGTCCAATGTATACAAAGTCAAAGGAAATGCTTACCAAAATGGAGAATCTGGTACTCTTGATCGTTAATATTAATAAACCCCAACAAAATATTATATGGTCTGTATACAATTGGCAAAATACACCATTAAATTGACTCCTTGACGAGATAATGACCTAAAAAAGTGTTAATTAGATGATCCAATATTATAAGAAAAAATTCGATTCACCAATTGGAAAAATGGTAAGAAATCAATTGATTACCTCTTAGTATTTTCGGATTTCACTTTTCTTGAAGTGATCCACTACAACATCATTTGTAACTTTCAACATTTTTTCTTTCTCCACATAGCAAATGAGACTGTGATTCATGTACTCATCACCCATACGATTGCACAATTGTGTTTTCACAATTTTCATGGCTTTGTTTGCCTGGGCCAACTCGCGCCATGTTTTAGGGCCGCTTTCTTGTAGAAAAATAATTCCGTGAATACGTTGAAAATACACCTTTGCTCTGTTCGCTTTGGGGCCACCTTTCGCGGCCATGACCGTGCCGCCATGGGCGGCCTGCCCATTGCTTTCGGTTCGCGTCGCGCTCGGTTCATTGTGTCGCGCCCGCCCGGCTGGGCAGCCGGTCTCTCATATCGCCGCCGCTCACTCATTTGGGCGTGCTTTCGCGTCGCGTCTCGTTTGCGCCGCTTCTTTGGACCGCTCTGGCGCGCCGTCCGCCGCTTCTTGTCGGGGCCGCATCGTCGCATGACGTTGATTGAGAGGCAGGGCAGCGCGAGCATTCTTGCTTCTGGCACAAGGGAAACCGGGGTGGGCCGAGCCGAACCGAGTGGGCCGCACAATTGAATGGTTTTTTCCGATTTCCAGTAAGATAGGAAGTGTTTATTCAATAAAGATTTTAGCTGAACTTTGATAAATTGTAGTGAATTGTGTAGTTGTCCAAAAATAATAAAACCAAGTTTGTTAGATTCACAAAAATGCCCTCTATTTGTTAGTGTAGTTAGTTCACAGTTGGTTGTTGTGATGCTAGGTTCGTGAAGTCAAAAAAGAAAAACTTAATATTAGTTAGCTTAATGTTGTAGAAATTCTTGTGGTAAATCGGTAATAATTTTAGCTTTGAAAATTTTACAGTAGGTTCACTAGGATATTATGTACTTGCTGTAAATTTTGTAGCCTTAGAATGAGTTGCTAAATAAAGTAGTTATTACCCTTGCTTTATCGTATATAGCGTAAATCAACATTAGAAGTAAGAATATCTGTAGTTGCTATAATAATAATGAACGTCGTACTTCAAACTGGTTATCGGTAACAATAGGCAGCTTAGTACCGTGGTCGATAGCACTAGCTTAGTAGTTAAATCGATGTACTGTTATTTTAAGGGTTGCTGTTGTTATATTCCTAAGCATTGCATCGTCATTTCATGTATGTAGATCACGAGCTGGTATACTTCGTGCTCGTCGGCGAGCCGGAGTACGACGAGGTGATCGAGGAGTACGAGGAGGAGATCCTTATGCAGGAGGGATCCCCGGAGCCTGCTGGTGCTGACCGTGCTGACCTGTCGCCTGCCCAAGGCAAGGTCCTGTGCATAACCCCTATTTTAAATGATCACTGAATATATATCTGTGATGTGCATTTAAGTTACAGGCATTTTATGAAAACTACATGCATAAATATATCTACCCATGAGTCATACTAGTACAGGTCGAGTAGCTGCTAGGCTCAGGATATCGGTAGCGTGAGTAACCTGCCGTTACTCGCAAATAGGTAATAAAATATGATCACTCATGATAAAATGGTGGAAAGGAAAATAGTGACCGGACAAGGATATGGTTTGGGTACTGGTGGGTGTAAGGGGTTGTGTCCTGCGGCCAACAGGGCATGGCTCGGTTACACTTTTTCCCTGTCCATGTCGATTAAGGACCGGTCGTTGCATATGACTCTAGCCAAGTCACAGATTTATTGTCCCGAGCGCATACTTGGGTATGGGCGCAGGGAAGACTTGTTGCTCTCTTGTCGCGGATCCGGCTCTTTCCGGACCGACTGATTGGAGGCGGAGATGGTGAAGGTCCTTGCACCACACTGAGTCCGGGACTCAGGAGTGGGGGCTTGGAGTCCAAGTTTGGATGGGGACCTAGACACCCGGGAGTGATGGGTTAGTCCTGCTTGTGCCTGGGGTACAAGCGGGGCGTGTGTTTTCGGGGCACCCAGCTGGGCACATTGATTCACGAATCGTCGGAAAATCCGGTACGGCTTGTCTACGGT